TAATTATTAGCTCCACCTTGTGCTTCGATTTAGGTATTTATTAAGTATTTTTATTTTATAATATATAAATAATTGTAATAATTTAAAAAACAAATTCAAAATTTTATAAATTTCATTTTATTTGCATACTAACTCAATGTTTCAAAATGTTTTTTTTTATTCTTACACATCAAACTACCTACTCTTTTGGCTTATAACTATTTAAACCTTTTTTTTTAATGATGTAAAGTAACTTCAAAGTTTTGCTAAATTTTACTAAAAAGTGCTATATTCAAGAGCCCATTACTTAAGCCCTAAGATTTAAACTAAAATTTTTTTAATTTGTATAGCAATATAGCACTTACTTATATGTATATAAAACATCTGGTAAAAGTTTGGTAATGAAGACTTATTTTTACTAGAAGTTGTAAGTATAACATTTTTTCAAATTCCGTTTTTTAAAACTAGCGTTTAAAACTAACTACGTATAACATCTTTTTATTCAAGTTCTTACAACTTTAAGTAAAAATAAGTCTCCGTTATAAAACGTTTACCAGATGTTTTGTATACATAGAAGTAAGTGTTGCACAAATTTCAGAATATTTTGTTCAAGCCCTAAAAATGTATAGGCTCTTAAATATTACACTTTTTAGTAAAATACCAAACATTGAAGTTACTTTTACATTTAAAAAAAAAATATATATATATATATATATGAATAAAAAATGTGATTACAGGTGTCAGAATTAAACAAAACATTTTTTTTAATTCGACTTCAAGTCGGCATACAAATTTAATGAAATTTATATAAATTTAATTTTGTTTTTCAATTTTTAGCTACTGAAGAGGGCGTCGCACCGATGATATTCAGTGGTAAAAACATGTTAAGCAGACTAAAAATAACCCGCTTAATTTTGGTTTTAGAGTAAAAGCACCGATTATAAAATTAAAAGAAAACAATATTCTGGAGGGCAAGACAATTCGTTTTTTTTTTAAATTAATTTTTTGAAAAGTTACAGTTATTTAAAAATGTTAAAATAGTAGTTTTTTCTAAACTATGTATTGAGCGTTAGAGATTTATTTTCAGTCTGCTTAAACATGTAGAAATAAAAAACATTTTTCAATCGCTTTCAAGGATGCTGTGATAGTCCAAAAAAATAGACTACCAAAATAGAGTCCTAGTTATTGAACTTATAATTACACATTACAGTTTAACCTTTAAATTAAGATTTTGTAAAAAAATTGCCTATACTTTACTCCTTAAAAATGGACGGTGCGACGTTCTCTCAAAAATTTGAAAATTTTTTTATAAGGATATTACGAAAAAGAACACTGCTTTGATTAAGAAAAAAATCAAAAAAATCTTTTAAGAAAGCAAAAAGGTGTCTAGAAATTAGTCAACAGCACCGTTTTATTCCGCAAAATGAAACTACACTGAAATTTATGGTTTGTATCCAAGTCACCAGAATTAAAGCGATTCAAAATAATAATGTAAATAATTTTTTCTGCTAGATTAATATTATATATATATATACATTAATATTTTAAAGATTTCAGAGTTGCATAATTCAAACCTATACATAACCATATATTTAGAAATAAGTATATTAAAAAGTGTGTTCTTAAATAACAATAACATTCTTAAATTTTGATTTTGAAAAAAATAAGATTGAATTTTAGATTGTTTTTTTGGCCATGAATAGAATAAATAAATAAAAACAAAATTAATTACTTACTCATCGATGATCAACTATGATATTATAAGTTATTAACGAAATAAAAATAATAATATAACTAAGACGATTAATAGAATAGAATTTCTTTTATCAATTTTTAAAGGACCTATTTGATTAAGACAAAACATGTGGTTATTTTTTAATCGTATTTTACACTAAAAAAAAGTGATAATTATCTTACCTTTTAAATTAATTAGTAGTTTGTACTACTCAGCACTATCAGTGTGTCCAGTGATCAGCGTCGTATAAAATTACACTTGAAGTCTAAAGAATTAAACAAAAATAATGATTTATTATTATAGGTAGGTACCTATTGTGCCCGTGGACATGTAGTGACTTATTGACACACAATCACATTCATCAATTCAACCGTTGAAAGTACACAGAATAAACCCATGTTATTATTATTTTTTTTTAATTACACTTTTTGTCGTTATGCGGTCGTAAAACGATTTACTGATAAATGCATCACAAAATCCGGGTTTTTGCCGACACAATCCATGGGCGTTTATTTTTATACGTCTTGTTAAATGAATAGATCCAGATCCTACGTAGAATCCCGGATTTAAGAGGGCGTCGCACGGGGAGCGGTTTTGCCGCCGTTAATTGAATCGTCGTGTTTCAATAGGTTTATTCACACAGTTAAACCCGCACCGCTGATATCAGCGGTCAACCGGTAAAAATGTCCCTTGCGCGATTTTCGGCTCGACGACGGCGTCCGCCCATCATAATAATTAAACTGTGAGCGGATCCTAGATTATCATATTATTATTGATATTATATTTATTATTTATACGCCAGTGCCTGAAAAACCGCAGGGGCAACCCAGGTGCAATGTCCCGGTAAAGGGGCCTCTTGGAGTTGGACTAGGGGCCCCGCCTTCATCTGCGACATTGCATTATATTCTCATATTTAAATCAAATTAATATTGTATTTAACTTATCGAATACATTTATTTTTATAATATTATCCTATTTTATTAGTTGTCCGAGAACGGGGTTCTCCAGATTGCACATATTATATATTAAGCAATAATATTTATAATATTATTAAAGTGTTCATCGATAATTAAAAATGCGTCGTTCGTCATTTAATGTTCTGCCGGGAAACGATCGCAATACATTTTTATCGTTGACACCAAAAACCGCACACTTGCGATAAAATAAAGGGCGAAACCGCACGCTTTTGGTAGGTTAAAATCGCACACATTTAGTAGGTTAAAACCGCACACTTTTTAAAATTGCTGTATCCAAAAACCGCACATTTTATAATGATGTATAAACTATTATTTATTATTTATATATTTATTCAAAGAACATTTTTTAGGTACAATTTATATATTGAAAAATTTAAGATTTAACAACATTTAAACAAGTGGTCTTAAAAATAAACCCAATTTAATTCAAAATAATGTAATAACAATTTTAAAATGTGCCTATAAACTAACTTTTTTTTGTTTTTCAATTGGAAGGACAATTTTTTGAATTCCCTTATGGTACTGGTTCTGGTACTCCACTAAATGTTTTTTGTTCAGCATTATGAATAGCTATCTCAAAGTCGAGGTGGATAATGTTAATGTTTATAAATATATTTATATCTTCTAAAAGACAAGATTGAAGACAAAGCTCATAAAATCCTACCTGTATTCTTTAACTACAGAATACATAATATGTAAGATGTGGTAAAACTAATTTATACTTGACAGCCAAATTCTGAAATCGTCAACTAATTTAGGTAAAAAGTAAAAATAATGTTTTTATTTAAATAGTAATATAAACAATTTGTGGGAAATTTTAACAAAATTATTATTATTTTATACCAAATAATATTAAATTACAACATAACTTATAAAATAGGTATATACTATAATATAATGTAATTTCTTATGAATATTGCATTATATAATTTTACGTGTATTATGTATAGTGTATACGATTTAAATTAGATAATAGTAAAGATCTAACTACAACACGATTAAAGATAATATGGTTGCCCAACGAGCAATAAAAAAAGGCCGGAAAAGTACTAATTGCTGGGTGAGTCAAGTATCCTCTAGTTTTTAAATTTACTAATTCTGCTGCTGGTTGTGATACCTCTCCAACTTGTGTATTTAAATAATTTAAGCAGTCTTCACATTTTATATTTTTTTTATCCTCTTAGCTATATACCTGTTAAAAAGTAATTTTTAGTCATGCAATATGTTTGAAAATTAAGTAATATTTTTAAAATAATTACCCTGTCAAAAATTATATTACACATTCAAACACTGTGGATTCTGGTGTGTTACAATTAGGGTCAATTAGGGTCATACCCAAAGCTTTTTCCCATTTTTGTTTTTCTGTCTTCTTTTTAGGGACTTCATAAGTTGTTTTTGCTACACTATGTGGAAGACGAACGCAACAAGTCATATTAAATGTTTATAAAAAATAAAAATTTACATTAATAGCATATTCTTTTCAAAATGTAAAACAATTATATTTGTTATTAAGACTTAAGAAAAGCGGGAATGAAGGAAGTAAACTTTCTTATCAAAATAAAGAACAAACGAAAATAATGGCATTTTCTCACTTTATTAATGAAAATTCAATAATATACATATAAGTTATAATACTTTTATATAATATATAATATTATTACGATATAATATAAAAATATAACAATCAATAATTAATATAGTATATAATATCAAAATATAGCAAATCGATAATTAATATAATATAATTTATTAATATAATGTCAAAATATAATTTTAAATAAATATACATGTTGTAATATTACATTATCAATATTTGAAACTCGCGCGCTTATATGTTTAAATGATTTGGCAGTTCCAGAATTAAAATACTAGAGAGCGCCACAAGACTGTCTGATTTACTAGGAGTACTTTAGTGGCCGTTTTTACGCCGTTGACGATTTTGCTCGTTGGGCAACTATATTATCTTTAATCGTGAGCTACAATTTGCAATAAAGATAAGAACCTAACTAAAGGCAATGTTTTTGATATTAAAATACGAAATTTCTCTTGGCGGGTTTTTGGTAAAATCGATGTTGGTACTATCTGTAGTATTACAGATTTTATAGGCTATGTACCATTTATTTCTTATCACGCGTTATCATTTTTTGGAAGAACTACCCCCAACTCGATTTAGTTTCTTATAATCTTATCAGTTATTATATATATATTTCTTATCAACATATTTATTTTTTGATAGTCCTTGAAAACTGAATTTGTTTGTAACTTCATATATATTAACAACACAAATTGTAAATAATCGATAACAACATTCAACAGTCAATACTCAAACAGCAATTAACTCAAAATCCATTATTTAAAATTTAGTATTTACAATTAAATAAAATAAAAATATAATACCTATATAATTTATGTTACGTTTGATTATTTAGTGATTGGTTATTAAAATTATTGAAATATGTCTGAAAGTGTTGAAGATCAAGTAGAAGAACAAGAGTTTAAACTAGAATCGGATAATGAATTGCGATTTGAAGTGGAAAATAAAAATGAAACGGTCGTGTTAGAAGTAATACCTATAATATTTTATTTTTTGTACATATTTAAAATATTTAATCAATGTAGGCATAGTAATATTTTAATGCTGATTATTAACCTAGGTGTAAATTATAATAATTGTTAATTATTGTTACTGCACAAAAAAACTATTTTTATAATCATTTTTTTTCGGCGGATTTGTAAAATTTCTTCTAGACAAATATTTTAGAGGAGGTATTGAAGGAGGAATGACCCTTTTCAAATCTTCTCTCTGAGCAGACCAGAGATAAGCTGTTAAAAAAAAAGATTAGGACAATCACTTTTCTCTTTAGATTAGATTTTTTACATTTTAAATAAGAAAAAATATGTGTTTAGTGGAGGCTTAGGAGAAGGGTGGCTGATTCCAATTAGTTGTGATGTAGACGAAGGAGAAGAAGAATGTTTTTTTTAAGTACTTTATTTACTAAAAGAGATGTCAATAAATTATTATTGATGTATTAATTATTTATTTGTACTTTTGCTTTATGTGATAATTTATAACATAATATATAAGCTTGAATTATTTTCACCTATTATATTTAATCCTGCTGGAGATGGTAAACTATTATTTTCTTTGAGTCTGATTCTTATAAAATAATTAAGATGTTTTATGTGTAAGTTAATTATTAAAGAACAATTAATAAATGTTAGAACTAAATTATTTTATCATTGTACATATTTTTAGCTGAAATCAGGACTAGCTGAAATTTTTGGCACCGAACTAGTAAAAGGAAAACCATACACATTTTATTTTGGCGCAAAAATTGCAATATTTACGTGGCAAGGATGTACATTAAAATTACGAGGAAAGAAAGGAATTAGCTACATGTCTAAAGAGACACCAATGGTAAAATTCAAATTTTTATTTCTAGTAAAAAAAAAAAAAATATATATATAAATAAACTTTGTTTTGATCAAATAATTTTGCATTGTTGCCTGACCTAACCTAACCAAAAACTTATTTATAACTCACTAGTTGGCCCATGCGTATACTTTACACACAAATAACAACGTATTAATAAGGATAAAAATAAATGCATAGATGGGCCTACAAAAACAGTGATTTAGAATTTTAATGGCGGTCGCAAGTATAGTGTGGTAAACGACGATCGGCAGGTCACGTGATTTTGTGTTCGCAAGCAGGTTATTCAGCTACGCCGGATAAGAAGTAGGAAAAGTACATAGTATTTATGGGGTGGTCACAAATTCCGAGGGAGGTGTCTGGCAACACTGACTACGGTGTAGGGCTGGGGCACTGCGTTTTAAATTAATGCCGTTATAATACATGGTACCTATAGTCTAAAGATTTTATTCTTAAACCTAGTTTAGAAAAAATATTTTCTAAGCTAAGCACTGATAACTGTAGTGTTAGTCTAGCTATCTGTCAGATTAGAAACAATCTATTTATTAAAAAAAGCGAGTGTCCGCCAGTGCTGCTTGCTTAGCAATTAATAGTAAAAAATAATAATAAAAATAACCGTAGCCTTAAAAAAATAACCGTGGTTGTTGTCATCTCCGCAGTTACAAGTTGAGATAAAAAAAAATACTACAAAAACAACTAGCCCAGTATTATACTTCGCACACGGGCAATTTTGAATTAACGATTTACTATAAACAAGGAACTTATCTTTAAAATGATACCTCAATAATCAAATTTGGTTAAGTATGAAGGGTGAAAAAAGAATGTAATAAAAAAAACATTTTTTCAATAATATATGATAAAATTCACATTTTAATGATATGTTATAACCTACACGTAAGTTATTTATTTCTTAGTGTAGTATGCATCTAATTGAAATAATTGGTTGCAGATGTTTTATTTGAATTGTCATGCGTCACTAGAACAATTACGGCAAAAGTCAGAACAAGAGAACAGCCGTGGTCCAGTTACAATGGTAGTTGGTCCAATGGATGTGGGTAAATCTACTTTATGTAGAATATTGCTTAATTACACAGCACGAATGAATGCCCTTGGTCGTAGGCCTATATTCGTAGACTTAGATCCTGGACAAGGACAAATTTCGATACCAGGAACAATTGGTCAGTATATAATGTAGTTGACTCTTAACTAGTGATGTGTGGTAACTCGTATCACTCTGTTTATTCTTATAGTTATATAAGAAACAAAACATTGATTGTAGTTAGTATATAACTAAAGTTATATAGTTGTAGAATCTTTAGTATTACAATTTGTTTGATTTTACCCAATAACTTAAGGTACAATTGAATGAATAGCGGTACCGCACATCATTACTTGAGGGTTAATATTAAGAAAAACTAATTAATTTTTATTTTTTTGTAGGGGCAATTATGGTTGAGAGACCAGCTGAAGTGGAGGAAAGTTTTTCACAAGTAGCGCCGTTAGTATATCACTATGGACACAATAATGTAAATAGCAATTCTACATTATATAACACTCTTGTCACTAGAATGGCAGAAGTTATTCATGAACGAATGGCAGACAATCCTAGAAGTAAAACATTTCATATGACCTTATATTAGAATAGTTTTTAAGCATTTATCGCAGCAAAGTGCAGAAATGTCAATGTCAGTTGTATTTTACAGAAACGTCAATTGGAATTTCATAATGCTCTATTTAATAAACTTCTATGTCCTGTAACAAGTGAAACTATAGATTTCTGGGTTCCTATATTTGTGCACACCATGTAGAAGGTTATTAGGTTATTTGTATATCAATAATCAATATCTTAAAAAATTGCACTTATGACAAATCTATACAATGCGCTGTCAAAATGAGTCAAGGGGGGAGAGTCGTGTAAAAAGCAGTTTTTTCAGGATTATTTTTGGAAAAATGGTAAGATTTATTAAAATGAAATAAATTACATCATGAAATTGACCATTTAAAGTATTTAATAACAAAATTTCATATAGAAAAAATTAAAAGGCGGCGTTGCAGCTATTTGAATCTGGCTTTTTGTTTTTGTGCTGTGCACCGTACATGTTGCTCTAATTAACTAAAATAAAAATTCTAAAATTTTTCTGTAAAACTACATTCATACGCTTTGCGTGAACCTAAAATAAATAAAAATTAAAAATTCAGGATTATTTTTAATGAGAATACCTATTTTTTGTATAAAAAAATTCTAAAAACAGTATTTATTATTAATTAAGTAGTAATAATTAATAAACTTTTAGGTTCACTCAAAGGCCAGTAAGTTAAGGAATAAAATGCGCAAAACCACATGTCAATCAGATTAAAATTCATTGAGCTACATTGCACGGTGTACGAAATATTTATTTTTTGAGAAGAACGCGTTTAAAGTAGCCAATTTTCCAAGTTTTCAGCTCGCGCTGTTGTAAGATCACCTCCCGGATTTGAAATTTTTCTTTTTTTGCATTTTTATACAACGTTTTATGTTTTTCCGACTAATAATGTAGTTCTAGAGACAAAATATCAAATCTCTTCGATAATGCTGCCACTTAGTGTCATAATATCAAAACAACAAGTATGTTGGCCAATAGACTGAAAGGTAAAGCGTTTAGGTGCACGGTCATATAATATAACTGCGCGTAGCACAGTTCGAAACGCACCACTAGAGTGCGACTATATAGGTACACTATAGGCATATTTAAACTTTGAAAATTTAAGAGATCATTCTACAGATGATAAACTAATGTTCTAAGAAATAAAAAAAATAAAATAAATGTTCACACGACCCTCCTCTCCTAAGAGGTCGACTATAGGTTAATATTGTGCGACCAAAACAAATAGTTTTGTTTTTCACTCAAAATACTATTCTTGCGACAAAATACTACAATTTAAACCAGAATTAAAAACAACTATTTAGACTTTTACATTTTTGTGTACCCTGTCATTTTTATCTAGACTGTCTTATACTATAACAGTGCCAGAAGATAGTACATGTTTTTTGGGGGGGGGGGGGGGAAATATATATTTTAGTATTTATATTTTATAGTGTATGACTGAAATTTAAAAAATTGTTTTATTTGTTTATTATATATTGATTTTTATTTACAGTAAATAGTTCTGGAATCATCATTAACACGTGTGGATGGGTTAAAGGAAAAGGTTACCAGCACCTAACTCATATAGCTCTGGCTTTTGAAGTTGATATTATTCTTGTATTAGATCAAGAACGTTTATACAATGAATTAGTAAGGGATATGCCAGTATTTGTAAAAGTTACGCTTTTACCTAAGAGTGGTGGTGTAAGTATATTTGGGTAAATAAAATTATAATTGTATTTGTTAGCTGTGTAATGTTTGGTTAATATTGGTTTTAATAATTTGTTTTTTCAATTATTTTTTTTGTTATAAACTTTTTTTAATTTTTTTAAAAGAAAAACAATGCAAGTCTATGATTTTAAATGACAGTAGTGTAATTAAGTTAAAAGTTAATTAACTTTTGCTTGTTCAGGTACTATAATTTCTAATGTAACTTTCAAAGTAACTTTTTGTCTTCTTTAATGCCATTTAATTTGTAATTAGTTATACTTATTATTGAAGTGTTAGGGACAATCTTTATGAAATAATTTGAATATTTGGCGCTTATACCGCAAAATTTTTCGGGACTAATTGAAATATTAGTCTGAATAACAAACGTCGCTTGGTTCCTATATATTTGATTACATTTTTTTTTGGCATTTATTTTCTAAAAATGTTGATTAAACCTGTGTTTTTTTTACATATGAAAGAGTCATTTAAACCCCAAGTTTAAAAATTTGTTTGTTTGTTATAAAATGGCCACCCAAAAATACCAGTATGCCTATTTGATGCACCTAAGTTCCTTCCACTTGATAATATGTAATATGTCGCTAAGACCATAAGTATGGCTTACCCCCTTTTGTCGTAAAGCCATTGATATCTTGATTATTATCAAGTTTTTTTGGTGTAGGTTGAGGGGAAAATTAGGTAAAGTAAAATCCAAGTATTAATTTTAGTTTAACACTTTCGTTCCTGAGATTTTTTTTTTTCGGAAAAAAAAATCAATAATTTTTTTACGTATCGGACTGATATTGATTATCAATATAGCTGTGTCGATTTTTTATCATCAATCTATACTAGAACTTGTGTTTAAAGACATTTTTGAGAATGATAGTATGCTGTTAATATTTTATTCGATTTTTAAAGTTAAATCCTCGTACGAGGATGTCAGTAATGAAAAGGTTAACTAAATATACTCGAGAATGAAATACATAATAAACAAATTACATATCTACTTTATAATAATCAATCACATTAATAAATATTAGCAAGACTTAAATAATAATTTAATACATACTTAAATTTTATTCTGGGTTTAAATGATTAATGCATAATACTATAATAAACTTTTAACTTTATAAACATAATATACTTTGAACATATTTATTATTTATTGTGTTTGATAAAGTATAATTGTTTTGTTTTTCAGGTAGTTGAAAGAAGTACCAAGTTTAGATCTGAATCAAGAGAAATGCGCATTCGTGAATATTTTTATGGCACACCTAGAAATGTATTACACCCACACACCTGTGAGATAAGGTTTACTGATATTAAAATTTATAAAATTGGTTCACCACCAATACCAAATACATTGATGCCATTAGATATGCAAAAGACTGATTTGGAAACAAAACTTGAACCTGTTAGCCCAGGTTATTTGAATTAGTTCTTAACAAATATTTTCATTAAGATGGCGACATGATCTCTGATTATTAACTCTTAACTCCTTACGTTATTTTTTTCCCAATAATTACACTTGTGTGGTGTATTCAGTACATTTTACAGTTATAAATACACTTATAAAAAGCTTGATTATGGTTTTTTGTAGTAACAATTTGAAAAAAAAAAATGAAAGTTTGATGTACAAAATACACCAGTGTATGTGGTTAAGGGTTAAAGAAACTTTGTTTAAAATGTAATTTTAAACTGAAATTATAGCAGTCAGCAGTGAGATAAATTGACAATGATGAATTTGCATTGATTATTTTATTATTAAACTCTTTAACATCAGATGTCAAAAAATTCTGTAAGGAAAATTTAAACTAAAACATCTCTACACATAAAGTAAAAAGAATAAAAAAATGATTGGAGAAAAATACTTTTCTGATGGTATCTTATTTATAAAAAAATATCAAGTCAAATAATATATATTATACAAAATAATATTTTTTAATACAGTTGCACATTTTGTCAGTGTATTTTTCCTTAAAATTTTAAACTTAAATTCTTCTTGAACTCTTTTTCTAAATGTTTTAACATGGATTTCTATTAGTGTGGGATCAATCTGTCAAAATAGTTACAAACACAAAAACAACACCTAGGCATTGGAGGTGATAATCAATAATTCCTGGATGGGATGGTGATTAGGTATGAAGGGGATTGTACATCAACCATTTAGATACCAAGAACTACATTTCATATTTTAATTATCATAAGTCACCCAGTATTACTGATGAGCGAGTACGTCCATATTTACTGTTGCCACCACCAGCGTTTATCAATATATTCTCTAACAATATTTATCAATGTTTATCAATATTTCTCTAATTATTTTAATAAACCTATTGTCTATTGTCAATAAACTTCTATGCTATGAATTCAATGTACAATTTTTCAATTTAACCTTTGAGAAACCTGATTGGAAAGAGAAACTACTAAACACACATTCAGTTTTCAACTTAAGCTGAATATTACCTGACTTCAAATTTGTTAATGTCGTCTTCTTAATTGAGAATATTTTATTATTTTTTTTAACTATTATGTACATTTTATTGATAAATTATATTTTTGATTTTAGGACCAAATATGATGCATCATATTTTAGCCTTAAGTTTTACTACGTCAGCTGATGAAGATGTTGTTAGGACAAGTGTTGCAGGTTTTGTATGTGTGTAAGTAGCTTGTTTTAAAAATGTTCATAAATAATAACCATTTGGTTTTAAATTAAACCATAATATGTTTTAATATAAAATTTTTTCATTAGGACAAATGTGGATACAACACGTCAAATGCTAACTCTACTTTCTCCTCAACCAAAGCCTTTACCAGAAACTATTTATCTCTTGTCAGATGTACAATTTATGGACAGCAACTCATAAAATATGTCTAAACTAAAATTATAACTTTTTTATTAGCTGTAAAAAATGGTTTTTAATTCTAAATATTTATTCAACAAGACTGTGTCATATGTAATAGTTAGTAGCATAAAGTAGATGGAAAATGTTTGTTTGTACATGTAAATATATTATTATTTTTACTTTATGGGTAATGAATTTAGTGACATTAAAGTTTAATATTAACATTTTTATGGCGATTATTCAATTATTATTGTTATTTTCAATTTGTATAATAATTAATACATGTTAACAAACAAACTATTCTGTTTTAATTTGTAATTTATACAGTTGCTCATTGTACTATAGGTAATTATATGACATCAGTTAAAAAAAAAACTGTATTTCCTAAAATGCCATGTTTATTATTTGGTTGATTTATCGACACATTAGTAGTAAACAACTATTGAGACTTGTTCACACCTAAACAATATTTTCAGAAACATAATTGCTGGTATGGTTTCTGCGTAAACTATGAGATTTATTGCTACTAGATGGGAAACTGGCAACAATGCCGTCAAAAATATTGCTTAACAGAGCATTACAGTCTTTAAAAAATAATAATATATATAAATTTAAATTATCTATTCTTAACAAAATGTGTATTTTATTTTAATTTTCTATCAATTAGATTAATTTGATGGCTTATTCTTCTCAGTTGTAGTTTTATAAAAAGTTTAACTGAACATTGCGATCAATCTTAATTTTTATTTGCATAATATAAAGTGTGGACAGTTTTTTTTAACCTAAAATTAAATTCATTCTTTTATTTTATCAATATAAGAATTACATAATATTAACTTTCATTGTACTTGAACAAAATTGATAGTTTTAACTTGTTATAAAGATACGTCTGATTTGTATTACTTATTAACTATTAGTAATGATTAATGATTTTTAAAGATCATGGACGTTATGGCAGCACAAGAGTTCTTAGTGTTCATTCAACGCTAGCCCAATAGGAACAAACTTATTATAATTTTGATACTTAAAGTATACTGTTAAGCACTTTTTTTTTTTAATTTAAAGTAATAATAATAATATAAAACAAATGAAAACGAAATTTTTCTTTTATAGCTAAATAATTTGTAGTTCTTATGATAGTTGTTATTTATTAGGCGTTAAATAAAAAGTCAAAGCGATGAAGGGGAAAGCCCTTGAGCTTTATCTGAATGAATTTTACTGTATTTCATAAATTTGTTATAATTGAAAAATATATATTGATGATAAGTCGTAAATCGTTAGGCAGGCTTCATTACCGATAAAAAGTTATTCACAAGGTATAATATTATCATTTTAAACTTGGCTCCCCATAATTGTGCCAATGATCTTAGCATAAGAACAATCCACAAAATCAAAATTCAACTAACGAGTATGTTCTACACATTCGAAAATTGCCAACGACTATTATCGGATATAAATTACTGAGAGATTTTACACAATCGGCAAAATTTGGAATCTATACATTTTTCATTTATATATCATTAGGTGGGACGCGCGAACGCGATCCCCGCTACCAAAAATTACGCGTCCGAGGTATTCGCATAAGGAATACTCGCAGGGGTCAACCAGCCCGGTGTGCAATGGGCCGGCCTCGTCCTGGAGGAACCGCCTCGTTGATCACGGTTAACCTCGACGCCAAGTAAGTATACCGCGCGGCTGAACCGTACGTGTACTTATAAATGTGTTGTTCCATTCGTCCTGCGCCGATGTGCTTGCGGACTACCTTATGCCCGACACCAACACCGACCGGAAATCCTGTCGCTATGCAAACAAAGACTCTTTCCGGAAGGGTTTTCCTCGGGTTAACGTCAACAACTTGGACTGTTTCACGTTTATAAATTCGCAAAAACCGAAGACGCTGCGTCGATTAGCCGGTCTAATAAACACAACCTCGCCAAATCGCTATCTACCGGCATTCATCTATTGGCCACCGTTACGCGTATCTCGACGACAGATGTCGCCGTCGATATGTTCAGGGAACGTGAACATCAATGACATTGCCACAGATTGGATAAAAACGTTTTTATTTAAACTGTGATTGTGGTATCATATCTTCAATTGATATCAAGTGATATTACACTTGAAAATATTATGATGATGATCCGAGGTTTAACACTGGAGTTCTAGATCTCTACTTTTTTAAATTATTATGCTAATTACACCGAGAAGTTTGTCAGTGTAACGCCGTAGAAATGTCGATTAAAAAAAAAAATCTTAAGTGTTATGTCATAATTATCGCGTTATATTAGTGTATTAGTTTCTATATACTTCTTTACAAATGTAAAAAAAAAAAAAATACCTGAATTAAAATTATTATATTATTTTTTATAAATATAGTAACTTGAAAACATCTAGTTATTTTTCTAGAGTAGTATAATCCTGCCTCAATAATATTTATCAATTAATTTATGAAATACCTAATCCAGTGACACGGTCGGGCCGTGTAAGATTCATGATGTAGGTACATTAAGCATGAAACTAATACACAGGAAAATATAATTTATTATCGATAACTTCGTAAGTGGATTATATAATAAGAACATCGTATAAATATAATTTATTATTAAATATATATATTTATATCATATTATTATTCAATATTATTTATTAAATGATACGAGTAGTGTGAAATGTAATTTTCCTTTTGATAAGAACAAACGTCGCTCGCTAGATGGCTCTACGCGTACTAGATATGAAGCGTATTGCGCGTTTTTAGCGATTTTTTTGATAAATTCAAGTTTTACCTTGAAACAAAGTTATATTTAATAATACCGCAGTTTATTTTTAAGAAAGCCATCGACATAAAAACTTGTCCCCGTGAATAACCGGGACGAAATGGCGTTTTTCTTATGTTTACGGTTAGGCGGCGTTGCGTTTTCGACTCGGTAGATCGCGTTTACATTCGGAACGCGTCTGAAACGCACACATTCTCGGTCAATTAGATTAACTCGTTTGCTGTCCAGACCAGTACGCTTAGCTCGTTAGCGTCGCTAAGCGTGTTGAGCCGTCTAGGCAACTCGGCGAGTCGCGTATACCATTTGGCATTCAAATCACATGGGGTACAGCCTGAAAGCCACTGCATTTGCGAACGGGACCGTTGCGGCATATAAGCTCGTGCGATCGTCGAAACTAGCATACTTACCTGGCGTGGAGGTCAACCGTGATCAATCAGGCGGTTCCTCCAGGGTGAGGCCCGATCATTGCACATCGATCGGGTTGACCCCTGCGAGTATCCCTAACGTGGATACCTCGGACGCATAATTTTTGGTAGCTGGGACTGCGTTCGCGCCGTCCCTTACTTAACACTAATTTTTTTGGGACACAACCATTCATTTGGATAAATCGCTCTTGAAGTGAAACTTTTAATCAGTATAATAGAACGTGTGCCACTATCCTCTTCAGATTCTCCCCACCACAGTACTCACTTCTCAGCATATAAATTAAAATGTGTAAATCTATTAGACATGTAATATGTTTTACCATTGAGTATATATTTATACTAATATGTGTGATGTGTTTTAAGTAATTTAACTTTATTCGTACATACACACTGTACTCTTTAGACTGTAATTTAATTCGTAGAAGTCTGTTTAGATTAAACAAAAATTATTTTAAAATACATTATTTAATGATTCCGGTCCATTTTTTTAAACTATACAATTCGATATACGTGTATACCTAATGTAATACATATATTATATGATATGTTTATTATTTAAAACAATATATTGTGTACATTGTCATACATAGACATTAGACATACACATTAATCGGCGAGTATTCAGTACTCGGTAGTAGCATTTAGTATAAAATCACATAGTGTGATCAATAATAATGAAAAAAAACTAGACGGACGTTATCACTTATCTGCAGCGGATGCAATACTGAATAAGATCTGTAGTCTGTTGAGACGTGTTCATTTACTATTTTAGTAATGAAATATTTCCATAGAGTGCGCTACATATTTATAGAAATGTGTCCCTCTTATATTATAGAGTGTATCATTACATGATTAGACGGAATTGCACAATATACATAATCATATATAGCCTAAAATAAGTAAATACTTTATTACATTTATTTATTTTATATTTTATACAGCATCCTATAAGGGTATATAAATACAATTTACAATGCAGTAATAGATAAAGATAATAGTTTTGTAAGCATAAAACACAATTTATTTCTTACGTAAAAAAATAACTATACAAATTATATTTTATTTTATTAATAGCATTAAGCCAAAAGTCAAATTTGTAGGTTTTTATAGGATTGATACGACATACGAAGTACCTATTTGCTAATAAATCGTTTAATTACTTATAATCATAGCCAAATTTAAGTTCATCGAATATGAAAAATTGTTATTTCAGATGAGGAGGGTGTGATAAATCGATAGTCAATTTTACTACTTACTATCAGCAACAATAGTTATGACATGGGTCTCTGACCAGCCCAATCCCTCTATGCGCCGTCTCCAAGTTTAAAATTGATATATACCTAGGTCCTAGAAGACAAATTTAGGAAACGGTTAGTAGTTTAGGACCGGTATTACTCATGGCAAAGCCCAAAACAATAATTTTTTTTTCACGAAGGGACATCCAGATTATATAATTTTTTGCTTTCTCACCATTCTAATTCAGCCCTAAAAGGTATTAATAATCTCAAAATACTAATTTAGCATATTTGTCTAGGTTATTGACATTTGACATACATAATCGTATAAATATTACATTTAACTCACAGGAAAGTAACCTTGCAAAATTACAATTTTAGTGAACATTTTGTTAAGTATTTTGTCCTAATTAAGTTATTTTAGTTGAGTTACTTAATTTTCATCTTGAGCTAAAATTAGAAATAATGGAAATTATAAAAATTGATTTCTTATACTTTTCGGATTTATAATTTTTTTATTCTAACGGCAAAACGGAAAAATCGTTGTTTTTTGCTTTTTATTTTGATCTCAATAAAATTATTTTAATAATTATTGTTAATAATATTATTATATCAATTAATTAAAATCAATAATTATTATGTTTTATCTTGTGGAAAAATGATAATAGAGTAATCATTAGTATGATAGTTGTTAAAAAAGGTTTTCTACATACGTCTTCTCATCGTTCAGTTAAGCTAATTTGTCTTATCTAAACCAGATTCAAAAATTAAAAAGATTACCTAGTA